ACTCCCATCCTCCTTCTTTCTTCTATTCTTTTTTTCTATTAATTTTTACAATTACATACTTTCAATGTATTTTATAACCTAAAGCTTAACCCTACACCAAATAAAGAATTCAGCAAATATTAAGTAGGAAAACCACTATTCCTCAATAATATAAACAGTACTCAAATCTCAGAATGTCTATTTCACTCATATACATTAATGTTTTATACTCTGTATTTTTTAAAATTTTAAGTTATACAACTTTAATATATTTCATATATACAGATTTAGGAACATAGTGTCACTTCCCTGCTGCCCCAAACCTCCCTCCCTCCCATGCTCCAATGCTTCCTCCCACTCCCTCTCAGATTCCCACTCTTGATTTTTCAGTATACTTAACGATCATATAGTTAACCCTATTCTAAGTAAAGGAGTTCAGCAATAATATGAAGAGAAAAACAAAATAAAGCAAAAACTGTTTCTCAACGGAAGAGACAAGGGCTATAAAAAATAATCAGTTCTCAAAATGTCTGTTTCATGCCAATACATTACATTTCAGGTACTCTATTAGTTACCTCAGATCAGGGAAAATATATGATATCTGTCTTTTTTAGGCTTTCTTATTTCACTGAGTATAATAGTTTCGAGTTGTGGCCATCTTGTTACAAAAGACAGGATTTCATTTTTTTTTAAAGCTTATATATACCACAGTATTTTTTTCCAGTCATCAGTTGATGGACATCTTGATTGATTCCATATCTTAGCTATTGTGAATTGTACTGCAGTGAACATAGAAGTACAAATAACTCATATGCTGATGTCTTTGGGTTTGGGTAAATTCCCAGGAGCGGGATGGCAGGGTCATATGGTAGGTCTATATTCAGATTTCTGAGGTATCTCCATACTGACTTCCACAGTGGCCATGCCAGTTTACATTCCCACCAACAGTGGATTAGGGTACCTTTTTCTCCACATCCTCACCAACATTTGTCATTTGCTGATTTCTATATGAGGGCCATTCTAACTGGAGAAAGGTGAAACTTCATTGTGGTTTTGGTTTGCATTTCCCTAATGGCTAGTGATCTTGAACATTTTTTCATGTGTCTGTTGGTCATTTGAATTTCTTTGAGATATTCTTGTTCAAGACTTTTGCTCATTCCTTAACTGGATTGTTTGTTTTATTGTTAAATTTCTTGAGCTATTTATAGATCCTGGATGTTAACCCTTTATCAAAGTTGTGTAGTTTGTGAATGATTTCTCCCATTCTGTCAGTCACCTCTTTATTTTGCTGAATGTTTCTTTTGTAGTGCAGAAGCTTCTCAGATTGATGTAATCCCATTTGTCAATTTTGGCTTTGATTTCATGGCCTATGCTTCTGGGATCTTTTTTGAGATTTTTTTCCAAGACTGCATATGCGATTCTGTTGCAGAGTTTTCCCAATGTTCTCTAATATTTGATGGTGTCAGGTGATGGATTTAGGTCTTTGATTCATGTTTAAGATTTATTTATTTATTTGAAAGTCAGTTACAGAGGTGAGACAGAGACAAAGAGAGAAAGAGGTCTTCCATCCACTGGTTCACTCACTGCCCAAGTGGCTGCAACAGCTGGAGTGGGCTGATCTGAAGCCAGGAGCCAGGTGTTTTTTCTGGGTTTCTCATGCAGGTGCAGGGACCCACTCAGGCCATTCTATACTGGTTTCCCAGGCTATTGATAGGGAGCTGGATTGGAAGTGGAGCAGCTGGGACTCGAACCAGCACCCATATGGGATGCTGGCACTCCAGGCTACAGTTTACCTGCTGCACCACAGCACCAGCCTCCTTTGATTCATTTTGAGTGGATTTTGGTGTACAGTTTAAAGTAGGGGTATAGTTTCATAGTTTTATGCGTGGAGATCAAGTTTTCCCTGCACTGTTTGTTAAAGGGCCTGTTCTTGCTCCAGGGATTGATTTTAACTCCTATATCAAAGGTAAGAGGATTGTAGATGCATGGATTGATTTCTGGAGTTTCTATTCTGTTACATTCATCTACAAGACTGTTTTTGTGCCAGTACCAGGCTGTTTTGATTATAACTGCCATTTAGTATGTCTTTAAATTAGATATTGTGATGCTTCTGGCTTTGATTTTGTTTCATAAGAGGTCTCTTGTGTTTCTGTATGAATTTTAGCATCTTTTTTTTTGATCTGCAAAGAATGTCTTTTTCTAGTTTTGGAATTAAAGACTATTGGTTTCTTAGTGTTAATTTTATAGCCCACAAGTGTACAAAACTCTCTTACAAATCCAATAGTCCTCAATGAAATATTTTGATTCCTCTCTATATAGGATCACATCATCTGCAAACAGGGATAATTTGACTTCCTCTTTTCCAATTTGTATCCCTTTGCTTTCTTTTTCTTGCCTAATCGCTCGCTAAAACTTCCAGGATCATATTGAATAGAAGTGGTGATAGCTGTCACCCTTGTCTGGTTCTGGATCTTAATTGGAAATGCTTCCAAGTTTTCCCCGTTCAGTATGATGCTGGCTGTGGATTTGTCATATATTGTGTTGATTGTGTTGAGGAATGTTCCTTCTATAATAAGTTTTTTTTTAAGGTATTCATTATTAAGTGATGTATTTTATCAAATGCTTTCTCTGCACATATTGAGATAGTCATATTTTTTTATTCTTCAGTTTGTTAAGGCGATGCATCACATTTATTGATTTGCACCCACTTGGTATGGGTGAATAATTCCTATGTGTTGTTGGATTCGATTAGCTAGCATTTTATTGAGCATTTTTGCATTGATGTTCCTCAAGAATATTTGTCTAGAATCCTCTTTCTCTGTTGTATCTTTTTCTGATTTTGAATTAAGTTGATTTTGAATTAACTCCTCATAGAGGAGTTTGGGAGGATTCTTTCCATTCAATTGTTTTGAATAGTTTGAGAAGTATATCTCTGCCATCCTCAACCAATGCTCACCTTTGATATGCACAAGTTGTCACTTCTCTGAGGGCAAGTACTGTGTTCTCTTTATCAGGCCCACACTTTGCATGGGCTCGGTGAGAACAAGCACTTAATAAATATTTGATGAATGAAGTAAAATTTTCTCCCTTATGTGGCTAGCTTCAGGATATCTTCCTACTTGATCTCTGTTTTCAGTCACCTTTAATCAGAAGAGTTTGTGATTTACCAGTGAAACGTGTATTAGGGCATAAGACAGCAGCCAGTGGGGAAGGCGCCATGGGTCACTAGGCTAATCCTCTGCCTGTGGCACTGGCATCCTGGGGTTCTAGTCCTGGTTGGGGTGCTGGATTCTGTCCCGGTTGCTCCTCTTCCAGTCCGGCTCTCTGCTCTGGCCTGGGAAGGCAGTGGAGGATGGCCCAAGGCTTTCCATTACATTTTTTATTTGATCTTTTGAATACTTCAATATTTAATTTTTATTTCTCTTTAAAATCTCAATTTCATGGGAAAATATTCCTTTAAGTCATGTATGGATTTCTTTTTTTTTTTTTAAAGATTCATTTATTTGAAAGGCAGAGCTACAGAGAAGCAGAGGCGGGGAGAGAGAGAGAGAGAGAGAGAGAGAGAGATCTTCCATCTGCTGGTTCACTCCCCAAATGGC